AACAAAATCTGGGGGTTACAAGGATACATGTGTAGATTAGATAGGTCTATTTTCCTAGATTATCTTCTGTTCTGATTGGTTTACTAGTAATACTAGTGTGGTTACCTACATGATATCCATTGGATATTTATCAGATATCCATGGATATCCATCTGATATCTTGCAGATGTCATATGATTATCCATGGATAAATATCCACATATATCCACAAGCTCACCATGAAAGCAAGAGTTCTGTATATTCAAACCACATAATCAGGCTATCAAATAGATATATAAGTGTCACGGACTAGAAGCCGTTAGACCTAGTCCCTAGTCCTTGAACGGCCGCACTGCATCCGATTTTCTCCGCTCCTGATTGGCTGGTGCGGTTTGGTTTGGTTTTCCCTCACCGCCTACCTGACTTGTGTTCTGCCTACCTGCCTACCTGCCTACCTGCGTTCTGCCTTCCTGCTTTCCCATCTATAGTCCCTCGGCCGCTACTAGCTTAGTCTGTCTTTGTATGGATCACTTCATATAGATCAACCGCGAAGACATAATTGCTTCTTTTCCTCCTCTGTCACTACGTCACGTCGCGCTCACCTTAGTGCGTGTCATGTCGCGGTTGGTATTATGGTCTCCTGTTTGTTATCATGGTCTTATAATAACCTATCTTCTTCTTCTTCTTCTTCTTCTTCTTCTTCTTCTTCTTCTTCTTCTTCTTCTTCTTCTTCTTCTTCTTCTTCTTCTCATTCCCTAGATTGCCTATATTCCTTTCATTAATTCTGACCCTGAACCTAATCAAGGGGATAATATGGACCTCTTTATCTATAACCCGACCTATGAGGTCTGGATTTGCACGGCACGTCTGTGTCAGTATGCTGTCTCACCACAGACCCTTCTTACACACCTCCGTGTCCATCACCGCTCACACCTGACTGTGGCCACCCCAGCCCTGCATGAGGCAGTCTTGACAGAGATGCTGAAGCGCCCGTGGATTGATCCCACTAAGAGACCCTGTGTGATCCCGTCCCCAGGAGACCCACCGATCCCGGGCCTGCCGGTCTACCAGGGCCATGGCTGCCCCCATTGCTCCTACGTTGCTCGCACCACTGAGACTATTCAGAAGCATCACCGTGAGACCCATAGAGACCTGGAGCCTCCCTGCGGCCGTGGGCGGAAGCCACAGTGGCAGGCAAACGCCAGCTGCCGCCTCGCCAATCGCGTTGTCTCCTGCCAGCGCTTGTTCCCTAACAAGCACGGGAGTCAGTTCTTCGAGGTCACCTGTGCCGCCACGCCACCCAGCAAGCAGGCACCGCGAGCCAACGTCCCCATGACCTCCGCGGAGCGGATCCGCGCCTGCGTGGACCAGGCACTGCGGGAGGGGCAGGCCGCGGCAGAGATTGAGGATGGCCAGGTACCCGCAATAGATCCCCAACCTACAGCTGTGTCCCCCTGGCTCGAGCTGACCCGCTGGCCGGAGTACCTGCGTGGACAGGACCGGGCTGCAGTGGCATTGCTGGGATGCCTTCCTGATCCTGGCAGGGAGCTTGTTCTCCTGCAGTTCAGCGCCAGTATTAAATGGTTGATTAACCAGGCATACCAGGTGATCAAGGACGGCTGTCTGAATGAGTTCGACCAGATACAGATCAACACCTTCTTTCGCAAGCCCAGCGTGTGGAACCGGCCTATCCAGATCCATCTGCGGCCGGCTACCTACCATTGATACTCCCAGGTGTGGCAGCGACTGGTCTGCTTCACCTACCGCAGCACCCGGCCGGACCAACCCATCCGGTTGCGTCACCAGCTTAACACCGCCCAGCTAGCTGCCCTGGATCAGATGGAGGAGCATGCGCAGCAGCTGCTAGACCTGCAGGGCCAGGATCAGCCAGTACTACGAGGAAAGGTGCAAAAACAGCTGGACCAGGCCTGTCTAGCCCTCTCGATTGCCCTGCTGGATCATCCCCTGAAGGCAGACCTTTTCGACAGCACCCTGGTCGGCTTCCTGGCGGTCCTGGGGGTGGACCCCGCGCGCCAGACCTTCCGGGACCCGTATAGCTACACCAGCTACCTGTCCGGCCTGGTCAAGATGGCCCAGATGCTGGTGGCCCTGCAGGCCGTCCGCCTGGCCAAGACTGGCCAGGTTACCCACCCCGTGGACGCCCTGGACGAGATGCGCGAGCGCTTCTTGCTATACGGGGTGCGCGCCCCCTTTGGCTGGATCACCCGGCTATGCATGTACGGGAAGAAAATCCAGAACAGTACTACTAGCATGGGCTATATCTACTGGAGTGATGATGAGCAGACCCTGAGCTATAAGGACCTCTAGATGAGCATGCAGGGATTCCGCCAGTTTATTGCCAGCCAGGTTCAGCTGGCCTAGGCAGAGCTGGCACAGCTGTTCCTGCTGCATGACGAGGAGGTTCGGGAGGAGGTGGTCCTGTAACTGGCGCTGCATGAACTGCAGGATGACCCAACTAATAATCAGCGGGGGTGGAACTTCCTGCAGGACCCCCGAACACGCAAGGCCCTGCCCGTCTAGGGGGAACGCTGGCTGCTGGACCGGGTCTTAGGGGCAGATTGGCTGTGGGAGGAGTTTGTGGAGATCCACCAGATTAGGCAGTGGGATGAGGTCCTATGGCGGGAGGGGCCGGTGGCCCAGTACCTGCAGGAGGTGGACAGGTTCCTGCAGCGGCTGCTGCTGCTGGTGCATATCACTAGGGGCCAGCCTGGGCGGGCCACCGAGCTGCTGACCCTGACCCATAGCAATACCAAGCATGGCCGCCACCGGTGTATTTTTATCAAGCACGGCCTGGTTAGCACGGTGACTGCCTACCATAAGGGATATTCGATCAGTAACTCCACCAAGATCATCCACCGCTACCTACCCAAGGCCGTCAGCGAGCTGGTGGTCTACTACCTCTGTAATCCTGCCGTTCTGCCAGTCCCTCCAGCGGCTGGCCAGGGGTCAGCGCGGGACTGCGTCCCCCTACCTGTGGCCCGCGGGGGAGGGGACCTGGGGAAGTGACCGGCTGCGGAAGGTCCTTGAGCAGGAGGCTAAGACCCATCTACAGACCAAGCTTAATATCCTGTCTTACCGGCATGCAGCTATCGCGATCTCATGGGTGCACCTGAAGTGCGGCGGCTTTGAGCAGGACTATAGTGGCGCAGATAACGCGGCCTTTAACGAGCAGGCTAGCCATGGGTCCTGGATTGCGGGCATGGTATACGCGCGGGGGCTGCAGGAGGCACCAGGCCATGTGGAGGCACGGCGCCGCCAGTACCGGGCCATTAGCCGGGAGTGGCATGGGTTTCTGGGGTTCGAGACCTATCTAGGGCCTCGCAAGCGATCGTGGCAGGGGGATCTTGATACTGGCATGGCTAAACGGCCGTGTATCATGATAGACATGGACCAAGACTAGACTAGAGGCTTAATATTCTATCCCATAAGGGGCGGAGCCTTAAGGCCGACAATGGATGGAGCACCAGGCTGATTTCTTATTAGATTCAACATCTTTTTGTCCTAAATTAGTGTAACTACGGGAACAACATTCTCTTTACTAGTTAACTTAGTTATCATGGAGCATTAGTTCTTCCTAAAATTATCCCAGTTCCCAATTATTATATGCCGGATATGCCGCCATGGGGTCTGGCCTAGTGAGGTCAGTAGCCATCTACAGGGGAAGAATCATCATCTACCGCAGGCCACCGCGAAGCAGGTTCACGAGGCCATTCAGGGATGGGATGGCATTGAGCATGACCCACTGGCTATTCAATGGCCAGCTAGCCTAGCCCAATCAATCCCTGAGCTGGATGAGCACCTAGATGGGTTGTTATGCCAGCGTGCACCCCTACAATGCCACTATGTCACAAGATCAATCAAAACCATTAAGCGACATTGGCGTGAACATCATGGGTGGAAGGCCCCATATAAAGGGGGTTGACCTAATCACTATGAGCGGGAGTAGGCCTATCCAACAATGGATGGAGCACCATGGTCATGGTGGATTTAGGGTGTAGCTCCTGATTAGTTGGTAGAACCCCAAGTCCGGGCATGGTGGGTTCACAAACTAGGTGGCATGGTGGATTCAGCAATAATAGGCTGATGATGCTTAAATTTTTTCCTTGTATAGAGTAGCCATTTATCTCTTCACTAGCTAAAGTTAAGGTCTATTGATTCATTATTAAAGGTGTGGTGTGGTTATGAAATTACCTTGTTCTAACTAATTAATTTTATTGGGGTATTACCCGCACATACATTAGATTCAGGGGTAGAGGTATTCCCGTCTCTTATAATTCATTAATATTCATTCAATTCATTCAATTCATCCATATTCATTGATAATCATCATGGAAAATTAATTATTTCATCAGGTGCCGACCCTAGGCATACTGATTTGCTGTCAATGTAAGCATGGAGTGTGACCAGCAGAGGTGGAACAGCATCTAAAGAAGAAGCACCATCTGAAGCATGCAGTGGCTTACCAGATCACCCAGGCAATATCTCAATGGCATGATATTCAGCATGACAGTAGTGCGATCTGCATACCATATAAATTAGATCAGCCACTGCCTATATTACCATATCAATCAAATGGCTTACTCTGCCAGCGAGATCCACTATGCTTATTCATTGCCTCTACTATAAAATCCATGCGAAAGCACTGGCGAATAATTCACCAGTGGTCCCAACAGACCCACCATGGACGTGTGAGCCAGAATGCAAAGGCTGTGGGGGAGGCAGAGCTACAGCAATTGTTCCAATGCGTCTCATGGCAGCAGGTGTTTCCTACTGGATGAGGATCCCATTATATCCACATCCGCTATCCAGATGGTCACGAAACACCACCATCCAGTGACTAGGTTCAGGCCACAGTGGATGAGATGTTGCAGGCATGGGACCAGGCACAGGCGCAGACAAATGCCCATCGGACCGCCCAGGCCAGTGAGCTCACTGATGCCAACCCATGGCTGTGGATGACAGGATGGCCAGATTACTTGACGGGCATCACGGAGAAGGATATGCGTGACTGCGTGGCGGCGCCAGAGGAAGATGTCATGGACGCAACTGAACAGCGGGTGCAGCTGATCTGGAACACCATGGAACAGGTCGCGCAAAAGAGTCAACAGATAGTCCAGCAATGTGGCCAAGCCATCCGCATGAAAGCCGTTCGATCACAGAAAGGCCAGATGCCGTACCGGCCATTATTGGCATATATGGATGCCACCGCGATCAAGAGGCATGTACACCTATGGCAACAGATATTAGCATTTATCGCCCGGACACAGGCCCCACATGATTGGACGAGTCCAAAATATGGGATGACAGTGTGACAGCGCAGAAAATGGTGCAAGCTGTGGGAGCTTACTAGCCATCCCCCGCGCAGCAGCCCAGTGGAGGACCCCTAGATGGAGCCATGGATTATAGATGACAGGGAAAAGGCATGCTTGGAGTTTTACATTAAGTTACTAAACTAGCGCCATCACAGCCAGGAATATGAGAGTGCATTAGTCTGCGCCATGGCGGTGTTAGGCCAGGGGGAGACCGGCTGGCGCGACCCCGAGAGTTATCCCCTGATATTATCGCAGGTGATCAAGATTGCGCGGTTCATGGTGGTCCAGAAGGCATTATGGATGGATCCGAACCCGTCTGAGATCATTCAGATTTGGGGGAGGAAGGACGCCAGTGCAGAATGGGTGTTGTCCAGTGCTGATGACTCATTAGGAGAGATTAATGAGGGATATGATAGTAATTATGCCACCGCAGTGCAGTCATCACCCCCATCACCCATCCACAGTGATGATGCATTGCCCGCAGTGGATATGCACTGGCAGGGCCGTCAACTATTCCAGGAGTAGGTGATGTGGATGATGCACCAGTTCATGATCCGCAGTACCCATGGCCCCATGGAAACATTGCTGCATTAGCGCACATATAGGTTGAAGGTGCATTACAACACCACCGCCCCAGGGCATGTGATGTGGATGGGTGAGGACCAGTTATTATACCAACAGATGCAATTCACCATGGGTGATTTTCAGGGATTCATCCATGGTTTGGTGACTGCAACACGGGAAATATTATGCCAGTTATGCATGAAGGGCCATGACTAGATGCCCCCCATTCCATGGACAGCATTGTACGATGACCCGAGCCAGAGTCAGCGCAGATGGAATTTTTTGCAGGACGCACGGACCCAGTGGCCCGTAGATGGGCCCCGCTGGATGATCGACCGGGTACGGGCCGAGCCGACCGTGCAACGGGAGTTCATGCGGGGCGGTCGATTCCATTCCCCCGCAATCCGACAGTATTGGCAATGCGTGGCTCAATTCAAGGAGAAGTTAGCAGTTTTAGTCCACATCACCACAGGAGCGCCAGCGCGCGCCCCAGAGTTGTTAAGCATTCAACATAGCAACACCGCGAATAGCATGCGCCGGAATATATATATTGAAGAGGGCATGGTGACGTTTGTGACGGCATATCACAAGGGGTTCCACGCCAGCAATGATGTCAAGATTATCCATCGATATGTGCAGCGGGAGGTCGGGGAGTTGGTGGTGTGGTATATGTGGTTGGTGTTGCCGTTTGTAGAGCAGTTAGCTGCATGGGAGGCCACGCAGGCAGCGCAGGGAGCGGCATCACAGGCAGCGGCATCACCGACGAACCAGACGAACCAGACGAACCAGACGAACCAGACGAACCAGACGAACCAGACGAACCAGACGAACCAGACAAACCAGACAAACCAGAGCAACCAGACGAACCAGAGCAACCAGACATCCTAGAGTAGGACTGTCGCCCACACGGCATGGTTATGGGGCCCCGACCCCGGCACCGGCCGCGAATGGTCATCGGAGCGGTTCCAGGAGGGATTGAAACGGGAAACACGCACCTAATTAGGGACTGCCATCCACATTGCAGCAGATCAGGACATCGCCATTGGCATCAGCCGCTGGTTTTTACGTCCATCCACTACATTTCCAAATAATGTGCAAGAGGCCGACCACACACCAGCAGCCATGGATGCAGATGCTAAGGAGTTTATGGATGATGAGCAGTGGATCAGCCACATTGCTGACTTACAGGCCGCCCATTCATCACATGTCGCAGGCATGGTGTATGGTCGAAGTATCCATGAACAAGCTGGCAGCACCAACCACCGGCGGGAGATGTTCCGGTTATCCAGCACCGACTGGCATCAGTTTTTGGGGTTTGCATCCACAGCCACCACACCATCAATATTAGGCAAGCGTAAACGAGCGCCATGGGAGGATGAAGCGGAGGTCAGTCGCATCGAGCGCCGGCACCAGCTGGCCACCATGGATATGGAAGCAGCCGCGCAGCGAATGACTGGCCAGGCCACCATGCGGTTCTGGGGCGTGCAGGACCCGGCCATTCGGGCCATCCAGTAAGGGGAGAGCCCCATAGTGGCGGTGATGCCCACAGGCGGTGGCAAGAGCATGTTGTTCATGGTGCCAGCATTTGCCGCCCCCGGAGGCACCACCATCGTCGTGGTCCCACTGGTTGCATTACGGGCTGATATGCAGCGCCGGTGCCGGGAGCTAGGCATTTCATGTGTGCCATGGGAGAGCCGGCGGCCCCCAGATGCCGCATCAATCGTGTTGGTGACGCCCGAATCCGCGGTCAGCCCCGATTTCCAGACGTTTTTAAACCAGTTGCGGTGGATGCGGCGGTTAGACCGCATCATGATCGATGAATGCCATGTGGTGTTGAACGACTAGCGGGATTTTCGACCCCAGATGGCCTAGTTAGGGAAATTAGTGCAGGCACGTACCCAGATGGTATGGTTGACCGCCACGTTGCCCCCGAGCATGGAGGATGAGTTATGCCGGCGGATGAAGCATGATCGGACCGCTATGACCATTTACCGGGCCCAGACGAGCCGTCCGAACGTGGCATACCGGGTATGGCGCCCTGTGTTGATGGGGGTCGGCCAGGGTCCATACTAGTGGATTGAGAGTGAGGCTGTGGTGGCATTCATTCAGGACCGTATTCAACAGGTGGCCGGTGGCAAGGTGATCATATATGCGAATATCATTGGGCAGGTGACAGCCATGACGCGGGTATTGGGGTGCGAGGCGTATTATAGCGACCAGCTGGACAAGGCTGGGGTGTTAGACTGATTCATGGGAGGTAGTCCAGTCATCACAGCCATGAGCGCATTAGGGATGGGGGTTGACATCCCTAATATCCGCAGCATCATCCACATTGGCACACCGCGGACGTTATTAGATTATGCGCAAGAAAGTGGTCGAGCAGGACGGGATGGCCAGCGGAGCGAGGCGATCATTATTCAGCCGGCTGGGTGGGACGCGCCAGCGCCGTGGATGGAGGGGGTATTGCCAGAGGATCAGGAACGAGTCGCAGATTATATGGGGGTGGTGGAAGGGGTTGGGTGTCGCCGGGTGGTGTTAGATTGGTATTTGGACGGGGTGGTAGATGGGTACCAGCGTCAGCATTGCCAGGATCAGGATGGGGCCGAGCAGGCGTGTGACGGGTGTGACCCCGATTGGGAGGGGCGGGAGGTGGATCCACCCGGGGTCGGCCGCAGCCAGGTGCCGCGTGAGGCCGGCAGCATGATCCAGAGGGATGCAAGCCCAGAGGCCCCGTGCGAGGCAGGGAGGCAGCGACCCCAGGTTAGCCGCAGCCAGGTGCCGCGTGAGGGCGCCAGCGAGGCCCCGCGTGAGGCAGGGACGATGGCAGGGAGGGATGCACCCCTAGCGGCCCCGTGTGAAGCAGGCAGCATGATCCAGAGGGAGACACCCCCCAAGGCCCCGCGTGAGGCCCCAGCAGCATCAGCCAGTCCTACACCATCCCATGATTCATTTTGCAGCCAGCCATCCATTCCCATAGGCGTATGGCATGTCCAGCAGGCCCAGACCCAGCAGTGGGCCGCCATGGATATCCAGCAGCAGCAGCATCGGACCCAGCAGGGTTTAGATGAGGAGATGGCCCAGGCGGAATGCATGCAGTGGCAGGACCAATGTTATATATGCGCCATGCAGGGGTACGATAGTAGCCATGAGTTATATTCATGTCATCAGCCCCACAGCCAGGCTGCACAGGCATGGATGATTTACGTGCAGCAGCAGGTCTAATATGCCCTGTATAGCGCATGTTATTCGTGTGGCATGCCCTAATCTATATGCTGTGGGTGGGAGCTGGGCCATCCATGTGAATACCGCGGGTTTTTAATCCCCATGGTGGCCATGATGTTGTTCGGGCCATGGCAGGGCCAGATTGAGCCCATATGGCAGCGCCGGTTGCAGGGAATGGGGGTAGATGGGCAGGATGAGGCCCAGGTGGTCCAGTTTTTGGGGCAGGCCCACCCCAACCAGGAGGGGCACAGCCAGTTATTTGTATCATTTTGTTGGTTATGGTGGTTATGCCAGGAGATTGAGGATCAATAGGATGGATATATATATGTGTTTGGTAGATGTATATCAGCGTAAGCAGTGGTTTCGTATCCATGCATATATATATTTGCCAGATGAATTATGAGGGGGAAATATAATATTAAGCCAGGTAAGTAGTAAGCCACCATGTAAGGTAGGCCAAGAGGTAGGCAAATACGTAGGGACCAAGGTAGGGAGTAAAGCCAGTAGAGAGGTAGCAAGAGAGGTAGTAAGAGAGGTAGCAAGAGAGGTAGCAAGAGAGGTAGCAAGAGAGGTAGCAAGAGAGGTAGCAAGAGAGGTAGCAAGAGAGGTAGCAAGAGAGGTAGCAAGAGAGGTAGCAAGAGAGGTAGCAAGAGAGGTAGCAAGAGAGGAGAGAGGTACTGCAGGAGGTAGGTAGTATGGTAGGGAGTGAGGAACCGCAGATAGTAGGGAGAGAGGCGCCGTGCAAGGTAGAAAGCATGGTATGGTAGGAGGCACCGCATGAGGTAGGCACCATGGTAGGTAGAGAGGCAGGCAGCATAGTAGGGAGCAAGGCCAGCAGAAAGGTAGGGCA